CTGTTTTGCTTTCAGCTTGAGCAAGTGGCTGAGAGCGGTGTGTAAGTAAGCTGTCAGTCTTATTGGCCATACGCACAAAGAGGTTCCCCAAGACAAGCCACTTTAACACAGAGCACTGACTTAATAATCATGTCCTGTGAGGCGCCGACATTTTGTTAGCTCGTGCTTATTTAGTGTTTACATACTAGTGTCCAATTAGTTTGTGTATCATGTGCATAATAACTTCAACTTAATTTTATTTACATGTCTTTGATTTGCTTTAAAAAGCGACAACACTACAGCATGCTTTAGGCTGTTGTTTGTGGTGGTGGTGAATTCAGGTTTATGTGAAAGGTGTTTTATTTTGTCTCTCTGTATGTATATAGAACAGACAATAACAAAACCCTCATGAGGAGCTAACTTATGTCTTGATACCCTCTCTGGAAACATTCCTGTCATCTGTAGACACTTACCACAGAAATGACACCAGAAAGCTTTGCAGGAATGTCAGACATTTCACAGACCCCACATTTCTCACTTTTCTTTCAAGTAGTGCCATTCTGGTCAGCATCACCCAGATGGAACTGTCAACACTAAGGCACAGCTGGTTGACTTTCATCATTCTTCTGAACTTCCGTAATTACTAGTAAATTATTGCTCTTTTATTTTAATTTAGAGATGAAAATACTGCATCATGCAACATTATTTTCAGGAATAATACAGTGGAGGGTAGTCATGCAAGAGGGTAAATGACTGAACAGTGAACCTTTTGCTATTAATCTGAACCAGAGGGCTCAGATTAACTCAGCAAAAAAATACTCTAAATCTTAAGAGTGCGTTTTTATAGACAAACTTTAAAATGCTGAAACAATATATAAACAACCATTTCCGTTAAGCACTCTAAATGCTGGGCTTTTAATCCAAATGCATGCAGTAGTGAAATAAGCCTGTCTACTCACGTGCAAAGAAAAGAAAGGGCTGGCCCACCCGCGCTGTGGAAAACGGGGGGGGGGGGGGGGACAACTTTAGCAGTCTGCCTTTAATTCAGTCTCTTCTCTGCTTTATTTCAACTGACAACACCATCATCAACATTTTGACAAAAGTAAAAACTTGTACGCAAACAGGAAATTTGAAGGTCAAATTCAAAGTCAATATGTGAAAGATGACTTCAAATCTTTTTAAATTATCATGGTTTTCACAGCCAGTATAAAAAAAATGACTTCTATCAGAGCATATTTGTCAGTAGGCTCAGGCTTCATAGCATTTCGCCAAAGCTGTCACATTGTCAGAAATGTGAAAAGTGGCCTTGTGAAGTAAAACCACTGCAAAGTAGAGATAAGGCCACATCAATATCAGCTTATAAATAAACAATGCAGACACAGAGTATAATTTTTAAGAAGCAGCAGCATTATTTATTGTCACAGTGACACGTACAATGAAATTATGTTTGGAACCTAGGGCCCCGGGCCACTGCGTGCACACGCGCTGCCATCACGGGCAACCGGGGGGTTCAGTGTCTTGCTCAAGGACACTTTAAGGCTTGGACTAGAGCCAGTCATCTCTGATTTTATACTATTTTAAGCACAGTACAGCTGACTTAAAGCTACAGTGTGCAACCCCCCCCCCCCCTCAAGTTACATACTGTAACTTTAATAAGGAAAAAAAACAACAACCATGGAAGAACTTTTACACAAGTCTCCACTGACTCAGAATTGAAGCATAATTCTCTACCAACAAAAATATTATAAAATAAAATGTATTTATAAAATAATGAACTGCAGGTAACCAGGCATGCCTTGTTGAATTTAACATCTTTTTCTAAAGTGTCTTGGCCAAGAGAGGCATCACTAATAACAAGACTAGATAATTATATAATAGCTCGTATATTAAGAAGTGAAGGTGTACAGGTTGTAGTACTCTTCTACACTTATATTAATACTGTCCATCCCTCTGCATTTTAAGTCTTAGTACATCTATGACTGCTGAATCTAAATAAAGGTAATAGAATGTCACTTTTATGGTCATCAGTGATTATACTGACTGCAAAAGGCATGGTCCATATATATTGATTCTGTATCCATCCCCATTATAAATAGACCAAAGCTGCCCATTTGTAACCTACACGAGTATCAAGATTCAGATGTCCCCTGATGTCCAACATGTATCATCCTGGGCAGAAAATGAAAGCCATTTAGAAGGAGGTTAATTAAACCTTAAAAGTAGCTCTGTCATCTGTTTAGGATATACTGAAATTAGAGTTATTATAATTGGGGGTTTATAAAAAACAAAACAAAACCATTATCTAGATTAGTAAGAAGACAGGCAAATTTCCCTGGACAGATCATCAGCCACCAACAGCAAAGAGTGATCCAAATTCTTGTCTGAAAAGGTTAATGTACGCAGTGCAAGTTGCCTTCAGCACAGTAGTCATGTGGCAATAAAATATGACATCTAATGTGTCTCATGTGTGGCCAAGACTTTGAGTCTTGTGAGCCTGGAGAGAGACAGAGTCACATAGTAGCCCTAAGGAGGTAAAACGAATGGAGATGATATAATGGAAATACAGCACTGTCTTCTCATCAGTGCACCCACAAGAGGACCGAAGCCTCTTGTCAAGTCACATGAATGACTGAGCAGCAAGAAGTCCAAAGATTAGATAAAAGTCAGACTGTCCACACTCTGTCTCTTCATTCAGATCTTATACTGTGGCTGCAACTGTGTACAGTTTCTTCAGCAAGAACAGCAGCTACTGTATGTTAAGATTAAGTCAATACTGAGATCAGAATTATTTATCAAAAAAATACTTATCTTTGACAACAGCTATGTTGAACATTTAAAGTTAACTGCCTTCAAATTCCACATTGTTTTAACACTTGAATCCATTGAAGACTTTGTTTATATGAAATCCCCCTGATCTTAAGAATGACCAAAATCAATTAATCCTCAGCAAATATACTGATGCCACCACAACATGAAACCAAATAATATGAATTTAACCCCATTAAGCACAATACAGCTATATTATATTTGTATGGTCAAGTATGTTGGATATATCTATTAATCAAAACATGCTGAAAACAGCCTGTGATTGATTTGACGGTTAAAGGTTAGATCTTCATCTCCCTTATTTTGTTATGGTTAAAATGGTTTCCTGTGTTGATGAGCAGACGCTTGTTCATCAATAGGGATAATCTTAGAGGTCATCAAATTGCAATGTCTGCACATCAGATAATTAAAGGAGGTTACAAGTGACCAGGGAATGGCAAGAAGGTGCATTAGTAGATTGACTCAGAAGAGTTAATCCGTCAATAACTCAAAGACAGAGACAAAGACACCCTCTCTGAATTTTATTATAGCTGGGTGACTGAACAGGCCAGTTCCAAGCTCAACTCACATTTATCCAAACACGGCCTTCTAGTTTGCTATGCTTAATTTGGTAGCTCTCAAACAGCCTGAAAAATACCTGTACAAGTTTGTGTGAAGCAGC